ATTTTTTTTTATAAAAACAATTTTTATTTCTAAACTTAGTACAACCACAATGTTACATGAACTTTAATCAATTATCTTATCATTCTCCGTCATTAGATTGACAGTAGATCCCACTATTAATTGAAATTCACTATCAACTCAATAATTATGATTCATCATGTCACTATAAGATAAAATCATTAAATTAGATACAAAAGGAATTTCTTGATAAGTTTTATTGCATAGGACAGTAGATTAAGAGAAAAATAAGAATCAAAAGGGCTGTTCATTCATTTTTGTTCATAAGCTAGCTATCTTTATTCTTCTTTCTACATACTTTGTACTGTTGACCCGCAGTGTTGTGTAAATATCTTAAAAGTACACAAAGCTGATAGGTTCTCCTCCACTGCATTGTTTTGGCCATTTATGATAAACAAACAAAAGCTCTTCTGTCTTCCTGACAATTTTTTTCTCTCTATCAACACCCAAATAAGGAGAGTTTGGTATAGATTTCTCTATGTGTAGTGATTTAAATTCATCATTGTCTTGTATTTGTAAATCGCATAAGTTTTGTTAATTATTAGGGTCGGTCCTAGAATAATAAATTCGCTTCACCTATTGATTATCGGAAAAGATCTTGACACCCCCCCCCAGCCTTCCCTAAGACTATATAAAACTCTATACAGAGTATATATCTTCTTAAAAAGCCCGAAGATATTAAAATTTATTTAATTTATTGTCAAGTTTTGACAATGTTTAAGTATGTTTTGCAATCTAGTGGGTTTCACTGATTTTTTCTTTTTATCTATCTAAACAGTAACCATCTTTAATGTCCTCGGGGTTTTCGCATAGAAGATAAGTCTCTACTGCCAGGATACATTTACCCTTTATATTATTAGATTAATAGTTATTATCCGTACCGGAAGGTACTATACAACAAATAAATTTTTTTAAATAATTGTCCAAATTTTAAAAAAATGACCTAAAAATAAATTCTTTTTNCCGGAAGGTACTATACAACAAACAAATTTTTTTAAATAATTGTCCAAATTTAAAAAAAATGACCTAAAAATAAATTCTTTTTTTAAAATGACTCAAAATATATTATTAATTATATCATTTATATTAATGAAACTGTTATAAAAATATATAAAAACTCTCCAAAATAACATCATATATACAAATACCTATGAAAAAAAATACTAACATAATCCATTAAAATTTACAATCTTTAAATAATAAATTAAATAAATAAAATCTTGCTGATTTATAAGACTCACGAATTATCACTTTTACTACCACTTCATCCAATAACACAACATAATTAACAACTCAATTACTATTTTTCCAATCCACCCTATTTCCATGTAATAAATATATCAAGNTTAACCCTAAATGATACAATATAATTATAAATTTAATTACAAAATGTTCAATTTTTCACTTGT